CTCTCTCTGTCTCTCTCTCTGTCTCTCTCTCTGTCTCTCTCTCTGTCTCTCTCTCTGTCTCTCTCTCTGTCTCTCTCTCTGTCGTCTCCTCCGTCCCTCCGTCCCTCTCTCTCTGTCCCTCTCTCTCTCTGTCCCTCTTTCCCTCTTCTCTCTCCCTCCTTCTGACAAGGAGCTACTGCTAGACCATAGTTTGAAGAGGAAAAGAGATCCAGGAGTAGTGAGACGATGGTTCAGTTCTGTGTTCTACCACTGACAGAAGCTGAGTACGACTTGAACAGTGCTTAGGACTTTACACACAGGAGGGATTTTCATTACTCTTCCAGCCTTACCTGACTATCACCACCTGAGCTGAGCCTGAAGGCACTTTACAAGCCCACTTGGTGTGCCCTATAGTGTTCGCTTCTGCTCACTGCAGAGACACRTATCAGACCTCAGAGCCTATGTGAGGTGGGTGTGAGGAGCCCAGGGAATGCCCCTTCCCAAGGTGAAAGTTGTCATGACTGCTTTCTGGAGCAGCCTCTGCCCTGCAATGTATGTAGGGACTGCAGTGTAGCTAAAATAGAGCCCAAAGTGGGCTTTGCAGTAGTGAAAACCATTGCTTTTGTTGCAAACTGAAAGAATGTGATGACGTCTGTCCCTGTGTAGTTCTGTCGGGCACAAAGTGCATCGCAGAAACGGGTGAGGGGGGAGAAAAATCATAAATGTTATGTCTCATTTGAATAGCACAGTCTCCTCAGTTGTTAAACAGTGGCCTGAAAACAAAGTGGGTGGTTTTTAGTCCAAGGTCAGTACAAAGATACTGGAAAGTTTCTTTGTCCTTTTGATTACCGGCAAAGTTCCATTGGAAATGCAGAGGAGAAGGTATGGCTGGGGATCTTTTAACGCTTGCATTGTCACTCCATCCAGCTCACCTCACTAATAAGGCTGAAGTTACTTGATAGTCCAGGTTAGTATTTTGAGACCTTACGCCAGGGTCCACCATGCTGGGTGCAAAATGATCAAAGAACATAGGAAAGCATATGCCCAAGGATATTGCCTGTGAAATTCTGGAGGAAGCCTTTATTTCCACTGTAGAAATGCCAGAAATAGAAAAGGCGCGTTATTTGGCAGCCTCCTTTAGGAACGGGRCTTCCTAATCAAGGTGATGGGCAAGTGTGCTGCCTGCCAGCAGTGCTGTTCTKCAAGCAGCCCGTGCTCTGCCACAGTTGAGTGGCTTGGGGTGACCCTTTCTCCCTGCTGTGAGCTAAAGACAGTGCGGACATCTGAGCAAGCAGCCTCCTTGGAAAGCAGCTATCCAGGCAAGTGGCATTTCGGGGCCTCTCAAACCCTTGCTAGTGGTGCTAAAAGGCTCTCTCCTGGAGCAGATGACACCAGTTCCCCAGGAGTTACTGTGAGATAATAGGAATCTTTTTAACTCTCTCCCTAGGAGAGATTGCACAGTTTGGGAGAAGCAAGCATGCTGTGAATGGAGAGTGAAGCTCTCCACAGGTCTCCTCAGTGGTGTTAAATATTAGAAAATTTAATGCTGTGTTATTCAGACATGCATTTTCTAGGGATTTGGCTTTCGGAGGACAGAAGGGATGGGGTGTATTCATTACAATATCATAGGCTTCATTACCCTATGGTGGAGTGAGACAGATAAAAATGTTGGGTTTTTTTTTTTCTTTGAAGTAAGCTAATCACTGAACTGTTAGTAAATGCCATTTGTGCCATATGCAAAGGTAGGATTCAAGGGCAGAATGGCCTTGCCAGCCACAGCAACCCCTTGCTTGTTCCACAGCCCTGGGCAGTTCGCCTTCATAGGATCCAGTTTCAAATGCAGCTTCTGGCAGTTAGTTACTTTTTGTCATGCCTCAGTTTGCAGGTGCTGAGCTTGAAGATGCTTAACTAGAGGATGATTTGCCAAGTGTCTCSGAGCACTGTAGAGGGCTGGGGGTTCTCTGAGCTTCTTGTGATGACTGGGCAACTGAGGCACGAAGATGCTATGTGCTCCGAAAGCAGTGCCGTGTGCTCCAGTGCCGTGATTAGAGTGTGGGTACAGAACTGGTTGTTCCCTATTACGCCAAGCATCGTGTCGTCCAAACCTAAACAATAGCTGTAACTGTACCTGCCACATAAGCGTGGGTCAGGGCCAAGGCTTCTCAACGCCCCCGTGATGAGTTCACCTGAGAGTCCCTGCATTGCAACGGCAGTGTTCTGTTGGGGCTTGTTCCCTGCTGGGAAATTTTGCAGAAACCCAGAATTAAAGATGCCTTCCGCTGCCTTGGCAGTTTACCCACGTTGGTGCTGATTCATTCTGCTCCTCTTGATGGGAAAGAGGTGAGGTGGCTAGGGAGGGAAAGGCTCTGGAAGCAGGGGAAAATTGGGTGGCTCTTCCCATGCCAGAAGCATGACAGATTGCCAATGGAACAAGCATAGCTTCCTATTCCACCTGTGGTTGCATAGCCAGGGCAGGGAAAAGCTGGAAAGGCTGGGCAAGGCTTGGAGGAAGAAGGGTGAAAACAGGCTGCAAAAAAAGATGACATTTCTTTCTTAGTGGAGAGTAGTCATTGCAGGTTCTTGTCTCTGGGAAGAGGGGGACAGTGTGTGSCACAATTAAAGGCTAGTCAACGTGTACAGTAAGGGCTGGAGCAGGGCTTTGTTTCATCGGGGAAGCTTTACCAAGGGTCCTGATGGTTTCCAAGCCCAGAATCTCTCTAGGTTTGCAGACTGAGGACAGCAGCTCGGGACAGATGGCCTTGTGGGCAGCGACGTCAGCAGGGCCAGTAGAGCCTACTGGTGGAGTGGTGCCTTCAGATCAAGATCTGCAGTTTTATGTACCAGTGGAGGCAGCCAGGCGTGGAGGCTTTCTGATTCAGCTTGGGGGCCAGTGACAGGGACGTTCTCTGCCAGATTCCCCCCTGCTTGCTCTTTATCCATCCATACCTCCCCTTGCCCATCTTTTTCTCTCCCTCCATCCCCGTCCAATGAGCTGTTCCTGTGATGATGTTTGAAGGCATCTGTATGAGAGGTTGCATGGGCTCAGCCTGTAAATCAGCAAGCACACAGAGGTGGGTGGATAAATATTTAGATTAGCTGAGCAGCAGCACTAGGTCACTCGCTGGTGAAATGGGAGCAAGGTAATATATTAAGGTACTCCAACAGAAATGACAAATACTGCACTGTTTTTAYCCTCTGCATGTAGCTGAGGGTGGTGGTGGTGTTTTTGTGTTTTGTTTTCAGTCCTAGTGCAGAACATGGCAGTCCATGTTTGCTTTCCTTTTTGTTAGATTCAACTCTTGACTGGATAAAGCAAATCAAAATTAAATCCAATTAAATTGAAAACTATGCCAAAGTTGGCCATTGGTTTTGATCTACTCTCCCTTGGGTCTTGCTTGTTGGGGGAGCTCAAAGCAGAAGGCCTTTAATAGGTGTCARGACTAAGTATAGTTGTGAATGAGGCTTGTCCCAGCAGTGCCTGTGTCTGGGTGGGAATTCTCCTTATGAGAGCTGTCAAAAATCAATAAGCCAGCAGTAATTTCAGCAGTTTGGGTAACAATGTCATCCAAGCTGGATTTGGAGATGTGCTAGAATCCATGTCAGAAGCTATATATAAAGATGCCAAAATCATTGAACACAGCAAAAAAGCAGGTCAGCTGCAGCTGATCATGATGGCTTCCTTCTGGCTTTAGCAATTTATGACTTTCATTTCTGTTCCACATACTGCTGAGTCCAGAAATTAGCAATTTGTTTGCCAGAATAGCAGTTGCTTGGAAGCAAGTGAGGAAAAGCAGCAGAAGGAAGCTGGGACTGCTGGCCCTAAGTAATGYATGGAGATAATGGCTACGTGACATTTGCTAACCAAGATAGGTGCCGGTTTTGCCTGAGCACAATCCCGGCTTGCTAATAGCTCACTGGTGAGCTGAGGACTTTTGCCGTAATAAAGACTTGTGCTATATTTAGTTGATAGCGGATGGAAGCAGTGACCAGCTGCCCTCACAGGGCTTCAATTGCAACTCAAAGATAGAAACCTGCAGGAAAAAAAACGGGCATCATGTGGTATGTAATGTGGATTCGGATACGGTTTCAGCAGTGTTGGTTCCTCTGCCTAGCTCTTCCTAGGAGGAACAGTCATCCATTCCCAGAGATCCTGGCACTGTGCCTCAGTGGGATTTCTGGACTATGTGCCTCCCTTTCTTCTATTCTGCTCTTATCCTTTTGCCTGTGCTTATCACTTTTCCAGCCTTCTCCCCTTTGCTGTTTGGCCTCCGTGGGCCTCTGGCAGGATGAACTGTGGTACAGTAACAGGAAGAGTAATAACCCTGTTCCTAACCCTGATAACGACTCTCTCTCTCTCTGATATGGGGGAATATGCGTGCTTTGGCTGCTGCATTGACATGTTTTATTTCTTTAGGTATTTGAAAGTGAAACACTAAAAGTTTCCCTGGGAAGTGCGTTTGGATTGTACATTTATCCTTCCCTTGCAGGTCACTGCAGCCTGGCTAAATGAAACATTGCACCCAGCCCTGCTCAAGTAGGGGCTCCAGGCCTTTCTCCTGGAAAGGTGTGTGGCCTCAGCAGGACATTTGCTGACTCAAGGGCAGCAAAAAAAGGAGCCCTTGAGCAGAGTCTACACATGTGGCGGCTTTCCCTGTTTGGGAGGAGAACCCCAAGCGGTTGATTTGATGAAGAGCTTCTCCTCTTGGAAGAAGACAAGACTCCTAAGGCTGGCATCCTCTTTTGTAGAGGACAGACAGCTGCCAACACAGAATGTGTCGTGGCAGCTTTCTGTCTCTGATGCAGTGGGATTGCAAAAACCTTTATTCATTTACAGACAGCAGTAATTAGGCTGTGGGGTTGGGTGGGATTGAACCTGGAACTACACCCCTTAGTTCAAGTAGCAGAAGTATGAGACACTTTGCTCTTCTAGATGGAGCTGTTCTCTGTGACCCTGAAGCCTATTCACTGATGCCATAAGTCTAGGACTTCAACGCAGTGATTTTTTTTTTCCTTTTTCCCAGGAGGTGAAGATATTTCGTGCCTTAATCTTAGGGGAGCTGGAGAGGGGCCAGAGTCAATTCCAAGCGCTCTGCTTCATCACGCGGCTCCACCGCAACGAGATCATCCCCAGCGAGTCTATGGCAAAGCTGCGGCAGGTGAGAGGCAGCCTGGCWGATGACTGCAGCAAGCAGTGCAAGCTCCACCTTCCAGCCCATCCGGGGTTCCCTAGAGCTAATGCTGTCTTGCCTGCGTACCCTTCCCAGGCAGCTGCTCAGCTGTTCGCTGGACCAGCTTTTGATCACCCATGCTGTTTAAAGGATTCAGTATTAACTTAATTTCATTAATCATATTGTTCATGATCCACTAATAAGCTAGATGGAAGCAGGATTTAGTTCAGAATAGGCAGTGTTAAGTGGGAAGTGGATGCCTGTAGCAATCACCATAAAAAAAAAAAAAAAAAAAAACCTGCTAAAGATTACCTAATGAAGTAAGTACTAATCTGGCACCAGCCATGAGGACAAACATTGATGAATGAGCACAGGCAAATCAGTTATCAGTTGAGAATCGCCAAGAAGTTGTGTAAGTGCCTTCTGTACAAATAGGATGCAGGTGCATTTTCTCAGGAATTTGCACACCTTCTTAGATTGGAATGAAGTCATGGTATTTGGTGTGGGATAATTGACTGTGATGAGAATTCAGATTTTTGTGGTTCTTATCCTTTCTAGAAAAATCCTAGGACAGTGCGGCAGGCTGAGGAGGTGCGGGGCCTGGAACATCTCCGCATGGATGTAGCTGTCAACTTCAGCAAAGGTGCCCAGCTGAGCTCTCACATTCACAATGTCTGCGCAGAGGCCAAAGAAGCAATTTATACCCGAGAGGAAGATGTCAAGTTTTGGCTGGAGAAAGGTAAAGTTTCCTTTTGCTTGGTGGGATCTCTCCTGCCGGGCCACTGGGGATCTGCACAGATCCCTTGGTGTTGTCTTGCAGCAGTAGCACCCTGAACAGCATCTCTGTACTCCTTCCCCCAGGGGTGGATGGCTCCATGTTCGAGGTCCTGCCTCAGACTTCAGACCTCCCTGACCTGCAGCGCTGCAAGCTGTGCACAGACCGCTGGAAACCCTGCATCTGCAGCTACTCGCTCAACATCRAGTGGTACCCATGCATGCTGAAGTACTGCAAGACTCGGGATGCTGGGGGCAAGGTTTCTTCTTATAAGTGTGGCATCCGCAGCTGTCAGAAGGGCTACACCTTTGATTATTATGTGCCGCAGAAGCAGCTCTGCCTGTGGGATGAGGAGACCTAGCAGTGTTGGGTCAGGCCTTGTCAAGGGGCAGCTCGTTTGCCTTCTGCTCCCCTTTCATGATTCTAAGGGATATCCTGGAGCTGGCCACTCCGAAGAAGGAATATGGTCTGCAGACGTGCCTTGTACAAGGAGAGCTTGATGTGTGCCTTTCCTTCTGGCCCCCTGCAAACCCTCTCCCCACCTAACACTGCCTCATACTGTGATAAGCTCTCTCTCTCTGTGTTAATGCTCTCCTGATAGCTGCCAGGAGAGGTTGCCTCCTGGAAGAAGCAAGACATGTTTCTGGGAGAAAGGACTGGAAGGGGCTGTGTTTTGCCCTGCTCTACACTTAGGACATGTGAAGGGAGGCAGCTCTGAGAGGCATCAGCTTTGAACATCCTTAGGGGTGGTCAGGGTAGGGAAAGAAGTGGTCTTGGCAACCTGAGTTGTCGAACATCTCTAACTCTGAAGAAACCCCTACACTGATTCCGCCACCTCCTGGTGATGTAACAGCAATTCCCAATGGGAAAATAGCTAATGTATGGGACCATATACTCAAACAACAAAGGTACAAAACTTACCCAAAGCAAGAGCCTGCCCATAGCTTTTTCTAATGTCTGGCTGTTATATTCTTCCTGCGGCTAGAAGATAGAATAGAGGGATATATCCCAGCAATTACTTATACACCTAAAAGGCTGTTGAATAAGGCTCTACTTAAAACCCTATGTAGACTAGTTAGGGCCCAACTTTTTGTGTTGGTCCTGTGACTTTCCCACTAAGAAAGAAATATGCAGGAAGTGGTGGTTGCCATCATAACCTTATGGTTGTGAGCAAGAGGAGAATGATCCCAGGCAGGATTTGCACCATTCTTTTGAAGATAAAGATGTTAGTCTGCCTGGCTTAGAGCAGAGGACCAAGTGCCTGAACTCCTTGGGTCTACATCCTATTCTGCCAGCTTCTCACAATAAGCTCTTAGGTATTGTACTGCTTTGCTGTGCCTTGGTTTTCCCTCCGTGTAAAACAGGGATGACCCTGATGCTGGCCTTGACTCTGTTAAATGCCTGGAGGGCACGGGACAAAGAGTGCTGCTGGGTTACTGCCCAGCTCCTGCGTCCTCTTGCGTTTGGGTCAGAACAGCCCGCAAGGTGACAAAGAGGCTGCTGGGGTCATCTAGAACCCTAGTACCTCATAATGAAAAGCCCTCACTATGTGCCTTTTTGCCTAAAAGCCACGACTTTTTTGACAAAAAAGAAAAATCTTACATTTGGTCACAATTATTTTTGTACTGATCTCATAAGGGGGGTGGGAGGGAGAAGGGAAAGGTATTTTAATATTCTGACATGAAGTAAAACACACTTGAATAATGTTTTTCTAAAGCAAATTATTTATCATTTGTAAGGTAAATAAACTGATTTTTTTAAAAGCATCTCTTACATAAAAGTATTTTCATCTGTCATAATCTCAGCACAATGYAATTGTTTGGGTTCCTGGTTAAGAGCGGTTTTCTTTTGCATAGATCTTGAGCTTGTTCCCAGGACCACAGATCTCCAGGGGGTGAGGGGGGGAAGCATCCTGCTGTCCAGTGTGAACCGARCTCTCATCCTTGTGCCCCTTCCTCTGTACTGAGGAGCCGGATATGCTCAAGACTGATTTTGACTGGTATCAAGCAGCTGTGCAAGCACGCAGCCTCATGGAGAAGGGAGGCTGGCAAGGGGAGGGGACAGTGGTCCAGGTAATGGGCCGGGGGCTGCCTGCTTCTCTCCCCCAGGCTGCCCTGAGGCTACACTGTATAGCTGCAGGTGGTGGCTGAAGGCTTGTCTGAGCAGCAGCCTCACTGAAGGGTCCTCTGCTCTATGACTTGGCTGCTCTAACTGAGCGGGGATGACATCTTCAGCAGTTTTGGCCAATTYCAAGCTCTGCAGGAGCAAATGTGGAGTGCTGATTCCCCCTCGTGAGGTGAAGGCGGAGATGAGGACTCCAGCAATCTCTGTCCTTTACTTGAGCTGTCAGMGCAACTCCCTCCTCTCACAATGATTTTTGAAGAGGGTTTCAGTACACAGCCCACACTTAGAGTGTGATATTCTCTATTGGCTGTCTCCTGCCTCATCCTGCTAGCCCCAGGTAAGTTCAGCTGTAAGCAATGAGGGAGGGGAGCTGCAGGGGGCCTGGGGGCCCTTCTTCTAGGACCCTCTGAGTAGCCTCTTTCTGCCATTTATTTCCTGCCTGGACTGCTAGGAGAGTGGAGAGAGCTGTTGGGAGCATTTGCATCTTGTCCCAGATGGCTGGATAGACTTTCCTTGTGATAGTGAGTCTCTGGGCTGCCTGCAGCCCTTCCAAGGGGACAGAGCACCTCCAAGGGGACAGTACCAAGGTATAAGAGTATGTGTAGGTACAAGGTAAGCAATGAATGCAAATGCTAAATAACTACAGGCAGTATATAGTGAGTTCCATTCAGTAGTCACTTCTAGGTTTGTGGGGCAGAGCTGGCTTTGGAGGGGCCAGGGCATGTCCTCACCGTGTGCTGCCGGCCACTGAGCTATCTGCACGTGGGAGGGAGCTGGTGCCTCTGCTTTCCCAAAGCTAATGCTACCACCTGGCCTGAGGCTGCCCTGGGCCCTGGCCATGTCCCTAGCAGCACCTGGCATTTCTGGAGCTGCCGCAGTGCAGATTTCCCGTCCTCCACAAGTGGGTGCTGCCGGATCGTGTCCCTGCTCCACGAGAGAAATGCTGGCAAGGTGTCCCAGGGAAAGCACTCGTGGCAGAGCTTTCTGCAGGCTGGAAAAGGCAGTGAAGGTGGTGCACAGCTCCAGGGTCGAGGGATGTGTGTTTCACACACCAACTTACAGCTAGGTGTCTTAGTCTCTGAAAGATCTCGTTATCTCCCCATCCTTGCCAGAAAGGAACTGCAGTGCAGCACATTTACCTTTCCRAGGGAAAGTCCTTCTTGATGCACTTAAACAATACCCTTGTAAAGCAGCTGTTGCAAGTGGAGACAGGGGGACTCCCTGGCAGAGGAGAACGCTGCAGCGGACTGGGAGAGTTGATGTAAATCCTTGCTGTTAGCAAAAGCAGTAGGGGATTTTGTAATGTCTTCCTGCAGTCTGTGCTTACAGGGCCCTTCTGAAAAGCTATGCTCCATACATCAAGCTCTATATGAGGAGCTTATCTTCCTCCAAGAGGGGAGTAAACTGGTAGCAAATGCAGAATAATACCCACACATAATGAGGATGAGAATGTATGCGTCATTCATTGATGCCCAAGGAGGAAAAAAGAAAAATGACCAGCTGAGCTCCGGCAGCAGCATATCTGCTGCTATCCAGGACAGATCATCTCTTGGCAAGGTTAAAGCAAATCTGCCTTTGCCCGGGAAAGACGGTCTTATTTCCACAGCAGAAAGGACTGCTGCTGCTTTGATATTTCCCCTGTATTTTCTCTCTGCTGGTGGCAGTGGTGTTTCGGGTAGTTTAGGAGGTGCAGTTTCTCCTGYTTGTGTGAAAGAGTGTTAAAGCCTAGGGCACCCTTATGAAGGGCTTGCTCCCACAGCCAACTGATGAATTGTTCTTGTTAGTTTTCCTTTCATTCTGTTTTTTTTTTTTTTTCTCCTGCTAGTCCAAAGTGCTAGTCCAAGAAAGCAGATCTCATGGGGTCCAGTGTAGGACTGAGCTCACCTGAGGATCCCCAGTTGCCTTTTTGAGGCACCTGCAGAGCCAGGAGAGGGCAGTGCATCCCTTTTTTTGTGCCAGGACAGCACACTGGACGGAGGACGTCCAGGGGATCCCTGTCCAGCATGGGTCCAGACCTTGGAACTCCGGTACAGGCCATATATTTCTGCAGCAAGGGAAGCGAAAGAATGCTATCAAGTGAAACTAATAGCCAACATGAACGGATGAAGAGCATGAGCTGATTCAGAGCACAGGARGCTCCGGTTGCCCCTCAGCCTTGCCAGGGCCTTTGACGCCTGCCTGTGCCCCAGAGGCCCTTGGAGCKGGCTGGAAGCCACCTCTGAATCCATGCCTGACACAGGGAGGACACCTGACCACGTCATTTTTCAACGTGGGGGAAATCCAGGCATGCTGAAGCTGCTGGGAGAGAGCATGGCAGCTGCCCTGGTGTGCYCACATTCAGCCTAGGCTCTGCCAGGCATCAGTGGCAGGAGTCCAGCCCCTGGAGCAGCTCGAAACAGGATGCCTGTGCAAACCYTCCCGTGTCTTCTGCTTCCTGGAGTGCCTCTGAAATCTCCCTCTCCTTCCTCATCTCACAAAGGTCCGTGTGACCCCAAACATTCTTGGGAACTTCCCCTTTTCTCTGCTTTCCCCCTCCGCTTTCCTCCTCCTGTTCCTGGGTAGACCTTCCCTTCACACATCCACCCTTTCTTTGCAGCACATTTTCCTCTCTGGAGGATTTCCTTTCCGACCATGGAAGCCAAGGGCAGGCACTTCAAGGCCATAGCACCAGACTGAGCTGGAGGTTAGGCCCGGAGAGCCTGTCCGCCCGCCCACCCATCTCCTCAGAGAAACCTGTCTTTCCAGGGAGGGAGAGCAGCATGTGGGAAAGCCGAGAGCCCTGGAACGTGAATTAGCCAGGAGGAGATGAATGTGCGATAGCTTGTACCTGGCAGCTGCCAATGGAGCCTGTTAACGCTTTCAGGCTCCAGAGCAGCGCCAGAGCTTCACGCGGGCATCCTGCTACCTCGGGCCGCGCACACAGGCGTCGATAGGCACCTGTGTCCCGGTCCGGGGGGTTGGCTCAGTGACCCGGGCTGGCAGGTGGCCCCTGGCAGCTGCCTGCAGCAGGAGCCTGCATTAGGTTCAGGGTTTTCGTTCCCTATGCCTCCCCGGGCAGTGAGTGAAATGCTGCAGCTTTAAGCAACGTGGAGAAGGAAGAGGAGGCTGCCTGCCCTTTCCATCCCCTTTGTGGGGGATTCAGGGCATGGAGCCCAAGCCAGGGACTCCTGTTCCCATGCCCATGCCCTGGGTGTTCAGCAAGGTCGTGGTGAAATCCTCCTCATGCCTCTCTCCTAGCGCTGGTGGGCTCCTGTGGGATGGGCTGCCATTTGGCTTGGACATGTGGCACCCAGACACCGAYGGGCTCCGGGGACCTGAGTGGCCCCAGTCGAGGTGAAGGCCGGGCTGGTGTCCCTGCACCCCTGCCCACRCGGGCCTGCCTCGCTGCCGGCCCCAGGCGGCCGCCGCTGCATGGGAGCCCCTTGCAGAGCACGCGGCGTCGGCGTGGCCGGGCTGCCGGCCTCCGTGCGCGCCCGCCACCTTCCCCGCGCGCCCCACGCCCTGGTAGCGCTGCAGGGACTCATCCGCTCCCCAGTTACTAATATGCAAATGGGCGCTTTTGCATGGGCCCGGCGCCAGGCTGCTGGGTGCCGGGGCACCCGCGGGAGGCGGAGGTGGGGCGAGGCGTGGCGCCGCGCCGCGTGCTCGCCCGGCCCCGCATGGACACGGGCAATGGGGATCTAGGTCCCGTGGGGAGCGGACCCACGCCCGGTTCCAGCGGCAGCGCGTGGCCGAGGAGGGAGGGCAAACTGGCAGCCCCTGGCAACCTGGGGCTGGCGGCAGGAGGCTGGGCGCACCGCGGGTTCCCCCCCGCCGGCAGGATGGTGAACCTGGAGGCCGTGCACGCAGGTACGGGGCGCGCGGGGACGCGGGCGGGCGGCACGAGGGCTCCGCTTCCCGCGCGCGGAGCCCCACTGCCTTCCCGCCCTGCCCACRGAGCTGCCACGGATGGCAATGGCTTTGGAGCCCGCGTTCCTGCCTGGGGATGGATGCGGCCCCCGGGGCGGCAGAGCCTCGCTGGTGCTGCCAGGCCTGACGTGGGCTAAGGAGCAGGGAATCTGGCTCTCCTGGAGAGCCCAAGCTGTGAGGCCAGGCAAAGGCTGGAGCTGGGAGAGGGGATGAGTGCAGGGAGGGATGCAGGCAGGCTGGAAGGTCCGTGCGAGCACAAGAAAGTGGGAAAAGGTATCGGCAGAGGGAAAAGAAGGGAGCACAGGGCTGCAGGAGGACAGGCTGAGCAGAGAATGAATGGAYGGTGGATACTTGGGAGGAGAGGGATGCTTTAGAGGCAGTGGGGCGCTGAGATGGTGCCRCATCTCCTCCAAGCAGACCTTCCTGCTGCGGATAGTTGGGGATCTGGGGCTGTCACTGCCGTCCTCCCTGCACCATGCGGGGCTTGGGCCAGCAGGGTTGTGGGGACTGAGCTCGTGCCTTCTGCTCGCCCCTCGCTGGAGGGGAGGGACTGCGCTAGGGTGGGCTGTGCTATGGTGCTGCAGTGACAGACAGATCCTACCCTGCCAGCGGGGCACTGGGGACCCGCGCAYGGAGAGGACACGTGTGTTCCCTAGGCCCTACAATCCACGGGGCCAAAGGCAGTGGCCGCCAGCCCCGCGCCCGCCAAAGTGGCCAAACCCTGCGCTTTGCRGCCACCTCGCAGCCTCGGCCGGGGCGTCGTGGGGCTGGTGGGACCGGCCCGGCGTGGGAGCCCAGCTCATCYGAGCACCTGCCCCGAGCGTGCATGTGCGCGGCGCCTCTGCAGACCGCATCCCCCGGGCTCCTGTCCGCCCACCTGCACCTCCCGGGCGCCGCTTTCCCCCGGCAGCTCCCGCATCTGTCCTGCATCCTCTGCTGGGGCCGGGGCCGCCAGCCCCGCACTTTCGGCCAGGGGCTGCCCTGTGCACCGGCTCCCCACGACACCTTCCCCACCGAGACCCAGACCTCGGGCAGCCCCATTTTTCGAGATGGGCTTGCCTCAGTGCTCGGCTCAGAACAACTCCTAGAAATGAGGGCTTGGGAAAGCTTTATTTGCTGACACTGTTTGCTTCAGCAAAAATAGAGATGCAGATATATCCCTGTCTGCACTGGCAGAGTTTCTTTGGTCTGGGTGAGGAAACCAGCCACCCCTATTCCTGGTGCGCTTGCTAGCTGAGGTACAGCAGCACATTTTTAATATGGACTAGGCCACAGTGGCGGCTCCTAATGGGTCTGTGGTTAGGAGTTAGGCAGGCCTAAGTTGCATTATTTTTCCCAGAGTTTTTTTTTTTTTTTTTTTTTTTTTTTTTTTTTTTTTTTTTTATTTTTTTTTATTAGCCTGCTTATTCCGTGTGTGGTGGCCACCTTGCAAAGCTGTATGGTAGGAGCCTGTGTTTGGTTGCACTTTTGCAGCCTGTTTTTTTCTAAGAAATTGTTGGATGCAGGGATTCAGATCCAGCTGGGTTTTAGCACCTTCTGCTTAATTACAGTGCAGGACCCTTTGCTGTTTCCCTTATCTTGGCTGCTTTTATATCATACCAGGTGATGCTTCCCTTCTAAATCTGCTTCCTGAGTTCAAGGACCCCTGCTGCAGTTTGTTCCTCGTGAATGTTCAAAAGCTCGTGAGCCCACAGACACTTAGTTCTGCAGGGTTTTATCAGAAAGATTTTATTTTTCCTCCTGTTTTATACCCTGTGCTAGGTTATTGCACTTCACATGTGTGAGGGAATCATGAGGGTTTCTGGTAGCGCCTGACTCCTAAAGCAAGAAGGTAAGGAAGCCCCAGGCAGCATATTGCATGATGTGCAATCAGGCTGCAGCTGTTCCACTCCCCCACACAGATTATAATGAGCAGAGGGGCTGATTTCTTGCCCCTGCTTCGGGGGAGTAGGTTTGTTAGGGCAGAGGGGTTCCAGAGCAGTKCTTAGGGAGCCAGGAATCTACGTCCTCCCAGAAAGAGAAAGAGCCTTACTGCTTGCTTTTGCTCTTCTCTCTCTTGCTCTTCCCAGCAGTCACTGGTCGGACCACTTTCTCTTGCTCCATGCTCGTAAGATGCACATTGGTGTGGGGAATTTGATTAAAACCTACTTGCAACATTTCATTTTAATAAGATATGCATTCATTCATTGATTTGTGTGCCTGCTTGAAAGCTATATTAAATTCTTTTAAACTTGCAGACTTTCTATCTAAAGCAAACACCAAACTTCCTTAATGCTGAAGGTTTTTTTATTTTATGAGAAGTTGGCTTTTTTTTTTTTAAGATTCTTTTTGGCAACAAGCAAAGCTTTGTGCTTTGTAGGCTGCCTAGGTTAGGGTCCTTTGGCAATATTACAAGATAACTAGATGTTTATAGCTGATGATAATTACTCTTTACTACAGTAGAAGTGCTTAGAAGCCCCATTAAATGTTCATGTCTTAATTGGGAAGGATTACTTCAAAAGAAACTGTTTTCTTTCTCCTTTTTTTCTTTTTTCCTTAATACAATGTAAAAAAGGAAAGCTTCTGAAGTATGTGAATGTTTTTGCACTCTTTCTTTAGTAAAAAATCTTGTTTTCTTATTTTCATCTGCCGAGGATAAGCTTTCAACCTTCATATTCCAAGTTCTTCAGTTTGGACCAAAGAATAGGGAATTTCCATTTGCACATTGGAAATTTCAACAGGAAAAAAACACTGTTTCCCTGCTTCAGTATGAGCAATAGGGGGAAATAGCTGTAATAACTTATAGATTTCTTCTCTTTCTTTTAGCTGCATGGAAATAATACAAGGTGCGTGCTAGAAAGAGGAAAATGTTTGCATGATGCCTTTAAAAAGGCTTCCACCTGCCTTTTCTGCCCCAGCAAAACCACAGCAAACACTTGCCCAGCTTCCACGCGGTTGTTATTATCTGATGCAAATCGCATGACTTCTGTGGCAGGGATTGGCTGCAGGAAGCACATGCAAATCAGCTGGTCCTTTATTTAAAAAAAAAAAAAAAAAAAAAAAAAACACTTTTTATCTACCACTAGAGGGGAAAGAGTTAAAACTCCCATGCAATGGGAAGAAGAGGGTGAAGGGGTGTCCATCTGGATTTGAATATTCTTCCTCCTTTCCCTGAGCTTGTACTTTGCCTCTTTTACGAAGAGGCAGAATCCGTGTAAAGTTGACTATTCCCACCCTTTTCTTGCAGCTGTCCCCGTGACAGCTGCGTGACAGGTGAGCGTGGCCCCGGGTGTGGTGGCAGTCATCACTTCAAGGGTAAATGACCTGTTTTTTGGCCTTGATAAGGAGGGAAGGAGATGCCCTGGTGCTTGATGGCAGCTAGTACATCGTCCTGTCTGAGCCATCCCTATGGCAAAGGGGGAGCCAGGAAAGCTGGGAGGCCATTAGAGGAATGGTAGTGGGAGATGGTGTCCTGAGGAAGCCTCAAACTAGGAGCCACACCAGCTAGCTGTTTGGGGACCCTGCCGAAAGCCCTGGGGAGAAGCCAGGGGATGTGGGAGGGCTCCCACTGCTCGTCCCTCTTGTGTTCTGTGTGGGAAATGGATGGTGCAAAGGGTGAGGAAAACAACAGCAAACTGAGGTGGGGGGAAAGGAGTGAGGGGGATGCAAAGAGCAACAGGAGGCAAAGTGCATCTTTGGAGCTGATGAATATTCTAGTGACTATGTTGAGGAATCAGGAATTTGAAAGTCTGATGGTTTATTATAATTACACATTCATTTGTGCTGTTTAGTGGAAGCCACATGTGCCTGTTGCCTGGGACTGTGACCTGTTATTAAAATCAGTTGTGCCTCCTTTTCCAGAGATCAAGATGAGCGGTGATGTGGCAGACTCCACAGACACTCGGCATGAACCCGACCAGGTGGAGCCAGGTAAGACAAGGGGCCAACCGGGGAAGTTCTGACAAGGAAGGGGTGGAAAAGGGGACACAGATGAGGACACAAATKGCTGTCCGTGCTCTGCTTGGCTCTTGCTGCTACCACCCTGCGTTCTTCTAAGAATGTGCTCGGGGCTAATGTTGTATTCACATCTAGATCAGCGTGCGAGGTCACTCTGTACCAGCAGTGGAGGATTCGGTTATTTGGCTGTCCTGTGGTTAGAAGTCCAGCTTTCTTCTAATAAGGAAAGCTGAAGAAGAGGATGTTTCTCGAGAGGGATGGCACTGGCACTAGAGCTGATCTCTGCCAGCTTAGCTACCAATGTGATCAGTGCCATAGTGTCATACACACCACGAACAGCTGTTTTTATTGTCACTTCTGATTGCCACTGCTTGCAGTGGGCTTGCAGTGCAGGACCTTAAGGATGTAATGGCACAAGGAGTCAGGATCACGTACATTTCCAGGCAAATAAACAGCAGTTAGAAAAACAAGCAGCTTTAGCACCCGCTAGTCTGTAAGAAATGCACATTGCCTGTAGAGGTGAGACTCATCTCCAGGCTCCTAGAGAAGCTGGCAAAAAAAAAAAAAACAAATAAAACAAACTTTGCTCTCAAAGTAGTGCAGAACCTTTAACTTGGCTGGGGCAGAGGGAGGAATGTGCGAAAGGAGATTTAAGCTTTAAATGTGGTGGTTCTGCTCTTCCACTTGTGTCATCTGAAGGGTATTAGAAAAAATGAAAAAGAAAAGATACCCTAGCCAGGGACCCGTAGGTGTGGTTTAGTGGGACTCCAACTATTCCTCTATTTACAGCCTGCACTGAGGACTGTGCTGTTGGTTATTACTTTGGGTTATCTGACATGATCTAAAACAGAGATGAAATCTGGCTCTATTCATGGCTATGAACTCCTACTGACATTGGTAAGGTCAGGCTTCTGCTTCTGCACAGTCATGCTGAGCTAGTTTTTGAGATAAGTGTCTCAAAGCCTGGCAACAAATGTGTCCCCAGCTTCCTGAGCTCTTTTACAAACCACGAAAATGGCTACAGAGCCGTAAATAGGAGTCAAATTCTCCTGACACGTGTCATGGTACACAAAGCTGATGGATAGCATAGCTGATTCAAAATTAGGAAAGTAGGAAAGATTGGTCTGTTACTTCAGTTGTGTTGTTGGGTTTTTTTGTTCAGTGTTTTTTTTTTTGTTTTGTTTTGTTTTAGTTTGGTTTTGATACTGAACTTTCCTAAAGTACTGGGAGACTCTCACTGCTAATGTTGTGGTCAACAGTGTGAAACTGTGGCTTCACAGTCTGTTGGATAGCTTCCTACCTAGCAGCTAGTGTTAGTTGTGCCATCTCTTTCTAGTGGAAATGCTGAGAGAAGGACACAGAGGAGTGAAGTCAGTTTGTTTTAAAACAAGAAAAATATTTGCAGCAGCATTAGCTTTGCCCTACCATCTTTTAAATCAAGAAGGGAAATGTGACGGTTCCCTGCAGCCTGACACAAGGAACCTGTTTCAAGTTCTTTTTTTTTTTTTTTAACTCAAATCCCGTAATAAGCTGATCTCTTCAACATCTTTGGAAAGCAGAGGSTGTGCTCAACTCTGTGCGTGGCATCCCTGGTGGGGTAAATATCTGGAGACTGGGGATACTTTTCAAGATAAGCCCTACTGACTGCCACAAGCAAGCAAGCCTGCTGAGCATCTGCCTCAATGCTTTACCTAAAACCTCCACAAATCCCTGGCTTTTTATTTTCTCTCTTTCCGACTGTTCTGTTTATAAATAACAAAGCACTTTGTACTGAACTTCCTTGAAAGTTTTTATTTTCCCTGATATACATTGTTAGAGGAATATTTACTGCAATGCCTAATAGCTAGGTGTTTTGTATACCAGCTTAATGTGGGAAAATTTGTTTTCCAATGACTCATTAACTGAGGACCCATTCCCTAATGAGCTACCTGAATAAAACAGCTCCCCAGGACTCAGGTCCCCTCAAGAGGACAGGACAGTTACAGAACTGTGGTACGGATATGATAGCTTTTGATATGAGAAGTTTTAGGTGCAGATTTACAAAGGCCTTTCATCAGCAAAAGATGCAGGCTAGCTCCAAGAAGAGTATTAAAAAAAAAAAAATAATCTTGAGAAAGTTTGTGCCAAGATGCTTTTATAAACCAAGCCCTTGATCTAAAACTGATGCCTGAAGATCTAATGGGAAGTGCCATTAGCAGAACCATAATCTCAGCCTTTCATTTCCCTGCCAGTTTTAGGCTTACAGGCAAAAAGGGTAATGTGGGGCAGTGTTTTACTTTGCAAGTGTTTGAAATAATCATTTTCCTCTTTTCGTCTCTTTTCGTCTCTTTTCGTCTCTTTTCGTCTCTTTTCGTCTCTTTTCGTCTCTTTTCGTCTCTTTTCGTCTCTTTTCGTCTCTT